TTTGTTTTTGTTGGTGTCTCACTACACACTTCCCTACTCTTTGTTTTTGGTGGTGTCTCACTACACACTTCCCTACTCTTTGTTTTTGGTGGTGTTTTACTAGACACTCGTCGTGATGTGATCTTAAAATATGTAGCTGTGTTTAGGACAGTAAACCCCAAACAAACAATTATGAAAATGTTCCTGTTTCACAACCAATAAGTGATTATATGTGACGGGTCGCTATACACTTACAGCGTAGCCGAATCGACATCGATTTGTGGACAACTCGTACACATTTGATACCTGTGTGTGCATACGCTTCACTGGTCATTTGTCTGATGAAGGTGATAGAGTGCATACAGTACTAGTCACATAGAAACGCGTATTGGTTGTGTAACAAGAACATTTTCAAATTTTATTCTTACCAACATGAAGAAAATGTTGGGAAATTCCTTAACAAACTAACAAAGAATGTGTATCAGACTCGATTGTTCTTAATTAACAAATCTTGGAAAAGAATCTCAGAATCACGTTGGTTGTTGTTTTAGTTGATGCACATGTGGATAAAACACGCCTATATAGATTTGTTCTGCTATTACAATGTATGAACCCATGGAAACAAAATACAAAATCTCGGTCAATTATGCTTACTTGTGCACATTCGCAAACATACACAACATCATCAATACTTGATGAAGTAATTATGGGTGTTATATTACTCAAAGGCATTCTGTGTAAATTAATTTTATTGGCCCTCTCTCACTATTCCCCTGAAGATAATGAACCTAGAAATATGTTAGAGTTGTTTATTAATGTGTTTCATTTTTTGTATACCACACGGAAGATAGTTGTGTGCTTTTACGAGAACACAAATATATTGTATGTACCTTTAAAGGTGCCATTAACATGGGGTAAACTCGTTATGTATATTTCAGCTTCACAGGACAAAAAACATGTTTTTTTCGGGAAGTTCTGACAGATCGATCAGAAGATGGCCGACACAAGGCAAAAAAGGTCGGATGTCGTCGGGTAATCTCCGGAACGGATCGATAGGAACAATCATTATGCCAGATGGTTACAACGACGAATTCAGTGAGAGCTGTTTACTTACTTGTATAATTTTGAACTATTGTGGTATAAAAAAAAATCTTCAATCATGATGGTGTGGTCTCTTAATCAATTACTACTTCAATGTTATTTCTCCTTCCATGTGCTATGTTTTTATCTCTCCTTCCATGTGCTATGTGCTATGTATTTATCATGTTTTGTCGATGATTACCCCTGTAAATACAGTCAACGTTCGTGTCTAATCGCTATAACTAAAGGTTAGTATTACTAACAGAAAAAGAACCCAGAGATGAAATCAACTTTATATGGCTTATTTGTGTAAATCAAAAAATACAATTCCAACTAATGCTGAAAGCAAAAAATACATTAATTACTATAACAAAATAGAAGACATGGGTCTCCATACCTATCACTGCAATAAACAAAGAAAGATAAAAAAAAAAATCAATGGAATGTTATCAATCAATTATTTAATAAAGTCTTGTGAGTAAAAAAGTCCAGATATGGTATCAAACTTTAGACCTTTCTACGCATTAACATATTCATAAGTATATTGCATTGTACTAGATTCATGCAATATTTAGATTATTTTCCATTTGGGATGTTCATGTATACCATGTAATACAAGATAATTATATGCATGTGTATGTATGGAAATCTGGTTATGGAAAAAAAAGCTGAATAAACAAAAATATCACTGAACGATACATTTGTAAATTTATAAATAATGACTCATACGTGATTTTTTAAGATTTTCAAAGCACAATTTGAAAATAATAGAAAAAACTTGGATTAAGCAAAATTAGGAAAAGTATAACAAGTTTCTAGTCCACCAAGTCCTATTCTAGGGAAACCAGACACTTGCTATTTCCCTAGATTCCATACTTTAACTTGTTGTTTTATAACTATACAAAACGTTCTGACCTGATTTCAATCACATTTCGAAAACCTCTCGAAGCGGCTTATTTTTCCTCTTTTATGCTTCAATCGATAGTAGGGATCAGGTCAATCTCAGCTCTGCTGTTATATGACTGGTTCTGTCATATCTATGAGGAAGTTGAGGAAAAAGATGAGGGATTAAGTCTGCATAGTGTTTTAGTTTTCAGACTAATACACAGCTCATAGAGGACTAACTCCCTCTACAGTGAAGTCAGTGTAAATAAAGGTGGGGATAAAGTAAATTTAACGAGTAACATTTTTAACAGAGAAAATAAAGCAGATATTTGATCTTACTTTGACAGTTTTTGCTGGAACTGCAACAGGATCAATAATGTGTATAGATATCTTCTCCATGTCTCCGACGAGGCTTTATCAACCCCAGCTCAAGAGCGTACCACGTTTTCTGGTTAGTACAAAATAAAGGGAGAGATCTATGATGGCTATTAATTACATTTAGACCATTTCTTCATTCTGGAACTAGCAATTCAGAATGTAACCACCATTGACTTCGGCAGGGTACTGTTAAATATCGTAATATTGAGTTGTCCACCACTCTACCCGGTCCTTATATGTATAAACATACCTGTGTTATATAACTATAGATGATTTGTATGGGCTTAGCCAACAATAGGTTTCATTTGTTGCTTGTTTAACACCATAATATCTTTTAACAGTGTAGAAATAAAAATGACTGAGAAAAAATTGCAGTTGCATAATAGAATTTATAAAACTTCTGGTTTTAAATTTTCATAGTTGAAGCGCTCTTTATATTTAAATCTCGACTGTGAATGGATCAACATTATTGTAGGGAAACATTACCTTCCGGATGTTTTTGAGTTGCATGTAGCTTTTTAGTTAGAGGTTTAGGAAGCTATTCCTTTATTTTGGTAAATCCTTATATCGAATTTAAGCTCTGAATTAGAACTTGTGGGCTGACGTTATAAAACATTCTTTTTCTGGTTTTGTTTTTCGTTTTGTAGATATTGAATGGCTTGATGTACACGGGAACATACGGCGGTGAGGTGAATGCTTGGAAGGCGGATATCGCCACTATAACTGGTGGCAGAGAGTAGTTAGGCAAGGCGGATATCGCCACTATGACTGATGGCAGAGAGTAGTTGGGTAAGGCGGATATCGCCACTATAACAGGTGGCAGAGAGTAGTTATGGAAGGCGGATATCGCCATTATAACTGGTGGCCGAGAGTAGTTAGGGAAGGAGGATATCGCCACTATAACCGGTGGCAGAGAGTAGTTGGGTAAGGCGGATATCGCCACTATGACTGATGGCAGAGAGTAGATAGGGAAGGAGGATATCGCCACTATAACGGGTGGCAGAGAGTAGTTCGGGAAGGCGGATATCGCCACTATGACTGATGGCAGAGAGTAGGTAGGGAAGGCGGATATCCGCACTATAACTGGTGGCAGGGAGTAGTTAGGGAAGGCTGATATCGCCACTATAACCGGTGGCAGAGAGTAGTTAGGGAAGGCGGATATCGCCACTATAACTGGTGGCAGAGAGTAGTAAGGGAAGGCGGATATCGCCACTATAACTGATGGCAGAGAGTAGTTAGGGAAGGCGGATATCGCCACTATAACTGGTGGCAGAGAGTAGTTTTGGAAGGCGGATATCGCCACTATAACTGGTGGCAGAGAGTAGTTCTGGAAGGCCGATATCGCCACTATAACTGGTGGCAGAGAGTAGTTAGGGAAGGTGGATATCGCCACTATAACTGGTGGCAGAGAGTAGTTAGGGAAGGCGGATATCGCCACTATAACTGGTGGCAGAGAGTAGTTAGGTCACAAACTACACTGCAAACAGTGACTGAAAGTCGCGACGATATGCAAGGCACACTCAGGCACACGTTCCATTTCGAAAATGCAGTTGCGTTTCTACTCATTGTCTCACACCATAACGTCACATATGATGTACTATGTCAGGGGTTGTAATTTATAAAAAATAAAGGTTATATTTTCAGGAATCACCAGCATAGCAATTGTTGTGCTCTGCTAAATTGATATTTTTCATGCACTGCTAAACTAAACAGTTTGTTTGTGTGGTTCATGCTTTTGTAGCAATTCATTCCGTTAATGCATTGAATTATTCATTACTTTCAAAGACTGTTGCATTAAGTGCAAAACGTTTGCGAAGTATTTGAATTTGTTATTTTATTTAATTACCTGAAATCAAATTATTTGCAAAAACTGTTAAGTTTACATACTCTTATATAACCGTTTCCATAGATTACAACAACATGTATTTTGTATTTTGTTCGGTTATGTGTATCGATGATTTGCTGTGTGAGAGGCTACCATCAATTCTCAGTATTTACTATTTGTATCATGACGAGACGGAGACCTTCTGGACGCACGCTGTTAACTAAACATGTATTACTCCCAACTACCATTTCCGTCGACGGAAGCGCTTAAGGATACCTGTATCACTGCCATAACTGTAACTAAACATTTGATTTCATTAAAGTCTCGAAAGGTATGGTTTTCGTCTTCAGAAATGATTTATTAAAGCTAAAGTCAATGCGGGAAAAAAAACTGTTTCCTACTCGTTACACTCTAAGCAGTGTACATCTGTACGGTGATCTTTAAATCTGTACAAGGTTCCTTAAATATACGGGGATCCTTAAATCTGTACGGGGATCCTTAATCCTTAAATCTGTACGGGGATCCTTAAATCTGTACGAGGATCCGGGGATCCTGAATTCTGTATGGGGACCCTTAAATCTGTACGGGGACCATTAAATCTGTACGGGGATCCTGAAACTGTAAGGGGACCCTTAAATCTGTACGGGGATCCTTAAATCTGTACTGGGACCCTTAAATCTGTACGGGTATCCTTAAATCTGTACGGGGTTGCTTAAATCTGTACGGGGTTCCTTAAATCTGTACCGGGTTCCTTAAATCTGTACGGGGATCCTTAAATGGAAACATCTTCGCGTTTCCCTTGTTATACATATCTAGAAAATTCTTTAGGTAAATAGATTATATTTATCTCAAATCATATGACCAAGCCTCACTGTAGATAAAATATCCTAGTTTATTTCTCATTTCCTGACCATCTCCCAGCAATATAAACTAGAGATTGATCACGTGGTTCACCATTTATTGATATCTCGCAACGTTCACATCCTACAGTATATCCCATATCATGACCTAAACGACCTGTAAACTCCACATCCTCTCATATTGTGAACAACACTTATATGTAGGTGATAGGGTTGAGCAGTGGATAACGCATTCGCCTTTCACCAAGGCGACCCCAATCGCGCGAGAAAAGGTTTTGGGTCACATGCCCGACCACGTGGGGTTTCTCTGGCTACTCTGGCTTCCTCCCAAAAGAAGACCCCTACGCACTAGCATTCGAGCAAATAAGAGTGATAAATGTGAGTTAAAATAACGTGTTTCATAATTGTTGTTAACGAATAAGGTTTATATTTCTAGTTACAACACTACATGTTACATCTAACTACTGTTCCTTCTCCAGATATATATCTTCTCTTTATCTGCAGCCAGTTGTATCATTCTTTAGATAAATTCATCAGATGACAATCATTTAGCGACGGTTTTAGATTATAGCATGGCACGTCCTGGCAACATTAACGTTTCAAATTCATTTAAAAAACAGTAAATGTATCATAGTTGATAACAGTAGTACCCGTAGTGGCGTACACGAACCAATCGCAGCACCTTCAGGTTTTATTACATCTGTGTAATACCATATATTTATGACATGGCCGTATGACACTCATTTCCTGTCTTTTCTTCGTCTGCTTGAAACCGAACTACTCCGTAGTGACGATATTGTTAACCTATATCTGGACTGGAGGTAAAAGTTCCGCCTTTAGTGTTACATCGTGTGTTGTACATATGATCATTATTTATTAACATTTGCAATTTTTATAAGCAATAAATATATTTTGTCGTAAAGTCGAGTTGAGTCTTGTTATTTAGGTTGAAATGTAGCGGCAACAAATCCATTCACAAACATTTGACTCGTTCACAATTAACGGAACGGAATATTAAGTTAAATAGAAATCTAAGTTCTGCAGCATCTATCATTTATTGCTTGGAAACATTGTCAAAAGCAATCGATACGGAAGCATTGTCAGAATGTATGGGGTTTTCCTAACTGTAGCAGGACTAATCCGTGGTTATAATATGTTTCATCAGTAACAGAAAAGACACACGCAAACAAATACATTCACACTGAATGAGGGACTTCATTGCAGTGTGATCGGAACAAGGGAGATAACTCGTGCGAACATGTTTCATTTGACAACAAACCACGCTGATTGCCCGTGACTGGTGAGATAGTCTACAATTAATGATTTTCTGAAGCCGAGATCACGTGACGATGACCAATTGTTCGATACGAACATTTACGGGTTAAGGTTTTAAGGGAAACAAAGCGAGCTTTATAATCGCTCTCTACACCCCTGGATTATGACAAGGCAAAATTGAAGGCACGAATATAGCTGTTTGAATGGTCTCAGGTAAAAAAAACCTGACCAATCGCTAGGCTGATACCCGTCCTTTGAAGATTGCAAAGGAGCGACACTTCAAAGCCTGTCATTTGTTACCGTTACGCGACCGCGAGATTCTTTTGATATACATCAAAGGATGAAACTAGTCCTCTTGTCTCATCAACAAGGCGGCGCACACTGAGCCTTCAATTTTGCTATGACATATTTCAGGGGTGCAGAGAGCGAAAGTGAGCGTAACCCTTGGATATCGAGGATGAGAGCGAAAGTGAGCGTAACCCCTGGATATCGAGGATTAGAGCGAAAGTGAGCGTAACCCATGGAGTATCGAGGATGAGAGCGAAAGTGAGCGTAACCCCTGGATATCGAGGATGGAAGACAGTCAAACTATGAACGAAGACTGACTCACAAGATTCGACTCAGGACATACAAACTACAAAACGTAATATATATTATAATGTTAATCAGGATTCAACAACACTGTATATCGGGGAAATTCGGTCAAAAGGTTAATCTTACTGTCCGTTAAACACAGAATTGACGAACTGCATTGAATTGGTAGATTATCCAAGGATATATGTTTAATTTGCAAAACGGTCCAATACATGCACGACTAGGTATAAGTATTATGACAGTTGCCTGTACAACTGTGAGCGTTCAGATTATAATAGATACGTGCACAAACTAAATGGGAAGTTTTTAAACACTGTATACGTGCCAAACTACGTGTCCAATCGTGACACTCACACGAATACATGTACGTGGTTTGTAATTGTAATTATGGTAACTATATTGAAGATGTAAGCCACTTTTTCCTTTTTGGCCCTACATATGTAAATTATATAATGAGATTGACAATATCATCATAGATATTGATATACATAAACACACTAAGGGAGATATGAATCATAGCACTGAATCAAATCAATTTATTATCTCGTATTTTCTGGAGTATATTGAAAACTCTCCACTGTCACAACCCGTTTGTCTACAGTTCAATATTAATTCATTACCGTGCGCATTATTTCAAACGGTGCTTGTAATGCTCTGACGTATTTTGTTTTCAAATGATCAATTTTCGAAAAAATATTTATAATAGAATTAAAAGCATTATGCGATCTGATTTATATGGAACAGTAAAATAATAATAATAATAATAATAATAATAATAATAGACTTTATTTCAATTCGATAACACATTGAGTCAATGACTCGTCTCACATGTGGTCGACATAAAATGTACAATATTTACAACAAAAATTGTAAAACAAATAATCATAACAGTGACAATGATAACACTGTAAAGAACACAGCCCTATCTATGGTATCTGTACACTATGTCAGCTCAGAGATAAGTAACACTG